AAAAAAAAAACACCTTTCTCCCTTTTGTAACTCCTGGTGCGTCAGCATCTACTATGAAGCCAGTGAAGGCTTTACCCGCTGGTGCTTTAGGGTCAGGATCAGTTCGTGCCAGGACAAAATACCTAAACAACATATACAAAGTATAAATAGGTTGAGTATGATCGTCCGGGTGAACGTAGTCCTGAATTGGACAGTTGTTGTTGACAGTGACTGAAATTTCGACAACCTGTGCGGTAGTCATCGTCAGAGTCAAAGTGAGTTGTATCACTTCAGTTGATGGTATTAAACTCTTGTTATTGACCTGATAGGTCAATTAAGTCAACTTGGTCAACCTACTTATGAAATGACTCCTGGGTTCAAACGTTTCTCAGATATGCCAGGCAAAAACTTTTTTCATGATTTTTCTGGCAGTGGAGGTAGTAGTCTGCTACACAGCCGTTTTTAGTGTCGTCACGCAACGCTCCTCGCCACTAGTGCGTGACGACACTAAAAACGGCTGTGTAGCAGATTATGAAAACACAGAAATGGAGAACATCTGACTGTGTAATATTCTCACCAGTTAGCAACACCTCCATTTGTTATCCACATCTTCTGTCCATTGATGACATACTAGAAATTACAACAAAATATCTTCAGGATCATTTATGTCTCATCCTCACAATTTTTAACAACTCTACAACACAGTGACAATGATATATTATTAGTACCAGTTATCGCTGTCGCTAGGTGCCAATGAGCACAGATTTTACCGATACGCGCGCTGTTCAATTTGTTTAGAAATGTCATGAATTACCATAATTAACGAAAAATAGTTTGAACTTAATTCGACTACATAAGCAAAAATTACCTTGAAAATAGTGAACTAAACTGTTCAACCGCATAAAGAATTTGAAATTCCGACTTTACATAGCATATTTTTCGAGATATTTTTCGAGATATCGTGTTTTTGTCCAAAGTTGCGCACAGGTCATTTTGCGTAAAATTTAGTGGTCTTAAAAGCGAACGTAGAATCCTCAAAAACTCATGTTAAAGTCCGCGAATATTCAATGTAAAGCTTAGGAAGTCTACTTTTCAGGAAAAAAAAGATTTATGGTACGCCGAAGAAGCTTTTTGAAACGCCAGAAAAGTAATCTTACACTATCTATGTTACATCGCAAGGAGATTCGAGATTCATTCTGCCTTGGAACTTTCAGCTTTATTAGGCTGCCGCCTCGTAGCCGAGCGTCTTCGCGAAGCTGCTCCTTGGCAATTTACAATGTATGCATCTCAGTTGATAAGATAATTATGCTAGAATTTGCACAGCAAAATTGGATTTAATACAGACTCTGCCGCCTTTTACTGTGACAGCAACGCTTCACATCAGTATGTTTTCCAGCTTAAGTTGAACATACTGTACACATAGTTAGTTGATACGCTGACATAGTTTCTAATTTATTTATCACACTAATTCTATAACGACCTACCACAGTCAATTCCCTTTATGGCAGACACTGTAGGGACCTTGAGTCAGTGTCCTCATGAGCGAGAGTCTGTAATAGCGGAAGTTTACTTCAGTCGAACGCATTTTTTCCTGGGATTTAGCTGCTGTCCATATTATCAGGGTGTCCCTTATAGCGGGGTGTCTGCAAGACGAGAGTTGACTGTAGTTGCCAACACTGGTCATAAAACTGATCCAGTAGACACTTAACAAACACATTGATTTGTCGTAAATATATTTTAAATATGTTGTTATGATATAAATTATGATTTTAATCATCTCTTATTGTTTTATAGTTTTACATATTTTATTGAATATTGTAATTACTTTGAAAAGCCAGAATTTGGAAAGTAATTAACCCATTCGCTCCTGGAGATTTTGCCGAAAAACGCGTTTTGAAGCTAGTCGAGTGGTTTTCTGGTCACTGTCGTGCTATAAAGAGCTAAAACTTACCACAAACCGGTCTACAGGTCGTACACTTGG